GCCTTTTCTGCGCTCCCCACACTCCTTCAACTTCATGTACCGCCCATATACCCAAAGGCATGTGGCGCAAACATTGAATAACTGTTTCCCATACACCTCGCTGTTTCCCCGGAAAGGTTCAGCCAGAGCCCTGCCATCTCCGTTCCTCCGAGCTGTCTCCTCTCGAGTGTCCTACCACAGCCGATCCAATAACAGGAAGCCAAAGCCTGTAGATTCCTTGGCCGACGCCTTTGAGTCAAAGTTTGAGAACAGGGTCGACAGCAAGTTTGATTCCAAGTTCAAGCTGAACATTGTCGATACCCGGCAGGCAAAGACTGGGTTCATCAATAGAGAAAACGGAGCCAAGCGTCGAACCTACAATAAGGACGTCCCGCTCGCCACCCCGAATTCTACCAGGACACCGTCCGCCGCTTTTTCTCGACGAGACGCCGAGCCCTTTGGCAGAGACGCAGAACCCTTCCGCAAAGACGAGTCCTTTCGTAGAGACGAGAAGCCTTTCCGCCGATACGAAGAGCCTTTTAGCAGGAATAAGGAACGCTACCACCGAGACGAGCCTTTTCGCAGGGACGACAGAGACGAACCCTTTCGTCGCGACGAGAAGCCTTTTCGCAGAGACCGGCCCTACCGTAGGAACGACGAGCCTTTTAGCAGGAAGAAAGAACGTCGCGAGCCCTTCCAGCAGAAATACTCTCTGAACACCAACAAACGCGGCACACGCCCACTGCCCACGGCAGATTTCTTGGCCTCAATCGTAGGGCACAAGCATCCCGGTGGTATCGCTAGGAGAGACGTTGTCCGTGGTGATCCAGAATCATTCCCCAACAAGCGGGTTTTCTGCATACCGGCCAATTGGAACAAGGTCTCGGCGAAAATCCCAGACTCTTGGATCTACTGTGCCGACTTGATTCAGGGGCCAGAGGCGGAACAGACACACTATACAAAGTTACCGCCGGCCGGAGAGAAGAAAGACATCCGCGCCGCCATGACGAACTACTTCCAGATCGCGGCGACGCCGACGGCGGATACGGGCCCGGCCCTGATGCTGCACTTTGATCAGCGCCGCTACCTCTTCGGCAATATTGCGGAAGGAACACAGCGAGCGCTGAGCCAACGTAAAGTGAGCTTGGGCAAGCTGGAGGTCATGTTTATTTCGGGCGCAACTATCCAGCAGAACACTGGCGGCATGATTGGCATGATGCTTACAGTCGCGGACGTTCTCGACGGTAGCAGGAGAGAGGTGCACGAGAGGAACCAGGCGAGGAAGGGCACGGGAAAGAAATTGATCGCGGCCAAGGGTCCCGAGCGGATTGAGATCCACGGTGCCCAGAACCTCGCATACTCTGTCGCAACAGCGAGAGGGTTCGTGTTCAGAAAGGGACTTCCGATTCGCGCCGTCGAACTGTACGAGGATCCGAGAATCGCCGACCCTGACGCCACCACTCCTGACTGGCAGGACGAGCTCATTCAGGTGTGGAAGGTACCCATCGCCTCCGACCATGTCAACCAGTCCCGTAAGAGAAGCCACGAGGTCATGACGGCGGAAGATGAAGGCCTGGCGAACCCAGCCGGTGCTGTTTCCGCCAAGGAGCAGGCCGTCATTGACCGGGAAGCGATCAAGGGCGTTGTTGAGAGCATGTTCAACTCCAGCTGGACCATGGACAAGCTGTACGAGACAAAACTTTCGCAGGTCCAGCTTCCCGCCACCATCTTTGTCAGAGAAGACGGCAACATCAAGAAGTACCAAGGTCCCATGCCGGGCGGCGACGAGCCCGTGCCTGACCTTGACGTTCTGGTGCGGTACCCTTGGCCGGCGGCCACGGTTGAGAAGTTGCCGAGCGCCTCTATCTCAAACACTGCCGTCACCTACATCGTAAAGAACAAGGGCCGAAGAGGCAAGTTCAATGCAGCTGCCGCGAAGGAGTTGGGTGTTAAGCCCACTGACAACAAGAAACTCACCGACGGAGTGTCTGTCCAGGGCAAGGATGGTATTACCGTCACGCCTGAGATGGTTCTCGAGGCGCCGATCAAGCCTCAGGGCTTTACAGTCATTGATATCGCAGACGCATCCTATATTGACTCGTTCCTTGGCAGACCAGAGTGGCAAAATGCAAACTTGATGGATGGCGTACACGTCTTCAACTGGATCCTTGGGCCGACCGTCATCGACGACCCGAGAATCCAACAGTTCATGAGGGAACGACCGGATGTCCAGCATCTCGTCATGTCTACCGATACCAGTCCCAACATGTTGGCGCTGGATTCCTATGCCATCCTCCACGGCTACCTGAGGCAGATCGACCCTGACCGCTTCCCGCAACTTGCCTTCGACAACACCGTCCGGGACCTTTCGCATATTGGCTCCAACGTGGAGACTGCTCGTGTGGGCATGAAGGCGAAGCTGTCGCCAGCCTATGAGCTCGTCAAGGATGAGATTGTTCCCCCAATCTACAATAAGTTTAAGGGCAACGGAATGGAAGAGGGAGTCATTAAACTCGCCAAGGAAGCCGCAGACAAGATCAAGGAGCCTGCCTTCCTCAAGGATATCGAGGAAGCGGAGAAGGACATCCCGAATCGCGACACGGAGATCATCCCTCTCGGCACCGGATCTGCCGTGCCATCAAAGTACCGCAACGTCTCGGCAACCCTAGTTCGGGTACCACAGTACGGCAACTACCTCTTCGACTGCGGTGAGAACACCCTGGGTCAGCTCCAACGAACGTTCGGAGCCGAAGAAACAAACAAGATTCTTCAAGAGACACGCTGCATCTTCATCAGCCACATGCACGCCGACCACCACCTCGGAACCGCACGCTTCCTTCGCGCCTGGAACGAAGCGACCATCCACCTCTCTCCCCAGCCTCAACTCGGCCTCATCGGCCCCGCCGCCATGCAGTACTTCCTGATGGAGTACAGCCGCATCGAGCCCATCGCCTTCGGACGCGTCAAGCTCATCCGAAAGGGCCACTTCTTCCCCCACGACGAGGGGCGCCTCCCCACCGACTGCCCTACGCGCCTTGCCTCTGCTCAGCTGGTCCCCGTAAACCACTGCAAGGATGCCTACGCCGGCGTGCTGACCTGGCCGTCGGGCCTCAAGATCGCCTACTCGGGCGACTGCCGCCCCAGTGAAAGGCTCGTTGAGGCCGGCAAGGGCGCGACGCTGCTGATCCACGAGAGCACCTTTGACAATGACAAGATGGGCGACGCGGTGGCCAAGAAGCACAGCACGCTGGGCGAGGCTTTGAAGGTGGCGAGCAACATGGGCGCGCGCCGCGTGCTGCTGACGCACTTTTCGCAGCGGTATGCTAAGCTGCCGCTCGTCGAGGACCGCAAGACGGATGATGGTGCTGATCAGGCGGTGTTGATGGCGTGGGATCAGATGAGGGTGAAGTTGGGCGAGTTCCGCCAGGCGCAGGCTTTCTTGCCTGCTATCAGCCGCTATGTGGAGCATGATGCCTTTAGGCAGGATGCGGATGAATAGAAAACAAACAACACCACTCATACTAATAGACTTGGACACACGTGTCCTGTTACAATTTTGTACCTTTCATTGCACCTTCTGCTGTTCAAACTCATTATAATTGCCAAGTACTAAAGATCTCGATGGATCCAAGAAGGCAAAAGAGTTCACCCCCTCGGTGCTGAACTGGGGGCTACATCTTTGGTGCTCATGCTGGGATTCAGACTCGGGTGCTTCGCTAAGCCTGTCGTTGAGTAGGCTGGTTGGCGTTTTGATTGTTGACCTTGGACCACTCCACCACCCACGCCACAGTTTGGCCTGACCCCCGACCTAGAGAGCGCCTGCTGCGCTGGTGACAGAAATTGACTTGGAGGGGTATATGAGGGTTTCGATTCTCCGCGTATTCGGGTTGTGTATTCAGGTGGTGGAACTTGGGGAAGGAAGGTCTGATCTGGGTGAGGCAGGTGCGTCACCGTGGAGCAAGAACTTGGGAAGGAGAAACGTATACCCACTTGCTAGGTGCGTGGTGACTTCCGACTTTGTCGAGGAGTATAATCGAATTCGATCACGTGGCTCACGCTTACCCATGTGATACCTTACCATCCGTACCCCGGATATAGCTACCGGCGCGAAGTAGGAGCATAAGGTACCTAATGAAAGTAAACAAACAACGCGGCCTTTGTGATGGCTCGCCTCTACGACCAAGGAAATCTGTCATTTACGCCGGCGAGGGGCAAGACTAGGCTTAGAGACCTGATGATCAGCAACACTCCTAGTTCGACATTGGAACCCTCAGAGCTGTTCGCTATGGAGTATTGGAGCCTTTGGGGGTTTTGGTGGTGATCCTCGCTTTAGAAGTACCCTTCCTATCCATAAAGGAGAGAACACCATGACGGGAGCTCCATCTTGGAAGGCGGGTGGCATCACAGCTAAGTCTTAGTACGCAGCATGGTGGCTGGGGGTCAAGACAAATAGAGAAGGAAGGACGCGAAACGTGAAATATCAGATACCCTGATGCGTAGGATAGCAAGGTACCTCAGGCTCCAAAGTATGCCGGAAGCCATCACGGTTGCTCAAGGAATACGCACACTCCACATCCCCTATAGCTGAGCAAAGTTGGTCTGTCTGTCGGGATAGGCGAGACCCTCCACGTTGGCCGATTGGTCTAGCGTGTGACTCTCGTCTACAGATCGCAAACTGAAATTTATTTAAGACTTCCGCGCCCAGCGTCTCGCGGAAGCACCATATTCTGCCATTTTGCCAGTTCGAGTCTTTTTTTTCATGATTTTTCTTTTGCTTACAGGTATCCTACAATAATACATGTGGATATCCTTATGTTATTTTACCTGTGATTGTGGTGCTGATGGCTCAGCTTCTGTAGGAAGAAGGTGACTGTCGACCGAGTCCCAACGGGATAGTCTGCCATTTCTAGGGGTTCGAATCTCCCTCGAGTCAACTTTTTCTTTGGCCCTTGATGGTAGTCAGATGATTGGTTTTTCTTTTCTTCCTATCTGCTAATCTCCGAGATATCAATGACTTGGTTCTACAGGAAGAAGGCGACTGCCAAACCGAGTCCCAGCAGACTATCAAGCCCTCCTAGCCTCGACCCCGCCGCCGTCGGAAGAGGAGACGAGCTCGTCGTCGTCGTCGTCCCGTTCCTACCGCTCCGAGCCCCGGTTGCCGCCGGTGGTGTCGGCGTAGAAGGGTCTACCAGCAGCGTGGTCGGCATGCTCACAATCGTCGTCGGGGGCGCGATGCCCTCTTCATCGCCGCCGCTGCTGCTAGGTGGCGGTGCCGAAGTCGGAGCTGAGCTCGAAGCTGAGCTCGGAGGTGTTGAAATAGCCGCCGACGCGGACCGGGTAGTAGCAGGAAGCTTCGTCGGCACCAAGGATGCGATGGGCTGTGATACTGCTGCTCCCGCCGATGACGATGATGATGAAGCTGCCGGTGGTGTAGCAGGCGTCGAGACGTTCTGCTCCGTGTTGGCCCAGGTGTCAAGGACGCACTGCTTCATCAGGTTGTTGTCGGTGTATGTGTTGCCCGACTTCTTGGGCGTCAGGCTGAGGACGTAGTCGGTGCTGAAGCTGCCGGCCGCCCAGCCCACGAGGCCGATAAAGACGTCTGAGTTCTGGTTGATGAAAGTGTTCTGGGCGCAGAAGCTTGTGAAGCACTGTATCCTTCCGTTAGTCATATTACCCATTAAAGAACAAGGAAATCGATTGACGTACCGAAGCATCGCTCGAGGCGCCCGTTTCGCTAACCAGCCCCTTTCGTCCCTTGGCCCTCAGGAACTCAGCCACCGTCCTGAAACTCTCGACATTGTCCGTCGTGCAGGGCCTATGCGTGCCGCTGTTATCCTGATCAAGATACTTGTGCACATCAATAATCAGATTATCCGTCGTTCCATCGGGGTTCGTGATCGCGGCCAACGCCTCCGCGCTCCCGCTGCTGACAAGGAACTCGGCCGAGTTGAAGTTTGTCCCAGGTAGCAGAATCATCTGCGACGTCGCGCCGGCGCCCCTGATGGCGGTCACCACTTTCTGGCACGTCGCCGCCCAGAGCTTGACGTCGAGGTCGTGCGGCTCGTTCATGATTTCAAAGACGACGTTGGCGTTGTCCTTGTACTTCGTCGCGAGCTGCGTCCATAGAGACACGAATTGGTCGTCTGTCGGCCCGCCTTGACCGATGATGCCGCCATTCCAGCGGGCGAAGTTGTGTATGTCGAGCATGCAGTGCGCGCCGGTCGCGAGGCACTTTTGCATTATCTGGTCGTATTTGCCAAGGTTGGCGGCGTTGAGTTGGCCGCCTAGTTGGTTGTTAACGAGGAATTGCCATCCGACGGCTGTTGTATTGGATGTCAGTATTAGACTCTCAAGGTGAGAGAGAATTCAAGTAGACTGACGAAGTCGAAACATGTTGAGCTTGTCGTTCTGGACAAAGTGGTTCATCTGGCCTTCGCCGTCGCCGCCTCCCAGTGAGCTGAGAGGCAGCTGGACTTTTCCCGTTGGACAGCTTCCCTGGCATCGAGTTAGTCTCGAATTGTTGGATGAGATGAGATATCGAGGGAAGGGTCTACATCAATCTCACAGCCAAAGTCGGCACCTGATATCGCGACTCCCTGTTGGGCAAGAAAGGTTAGACACATTGGTCCGAAGTCTTGTTGTAGATCATATGAGACTTGCCAAGAACTGCACCCTAGCGCATGCTGCCGCCGTCAACCCCAAAAGTGTAAGTGTCTTTGACAACATATTCGATACCTAAGCGAATGAAAAAGAAGCGAAAGTAAAAATAATCTGATGATGTTAAAAAAAGAAAGGACTCAATCCGAAGAATCGAAGGAAAAACTGCGGTCCAAGAAGCGAAGGGCAGCACGAAGCAAACACGAAAGGGGGGCTTTGGTTGCAAGAAGGCCTGGGAAGGAGGATCAAGAATCGTCTGTACGTAAGGCAGCGGGGAGCCGCATGACATATCTACTACCGGCAGGCCATCGACAATGCTACTTTGGAAAAAGGGAGCGTCCAAGAATAGTAGTCAACCCATGGGCTATATGACATGACACCAGCGAACGGGATGGCGGGACCGAGAGGTGAGATGTGGACTTCTTTCCCTACCCCCCTACCCCCCTTTCTCCATCATCCACAAACAGCCCAGCTGGAGAGGCACTGGAGGCCCTGGAGGGGGCAGTGAACCTGCGAACAGCAAGTTGGCCGTGAGTAAATGGCCCCAGCCTGCCATCCGATGGTCGTTTCTGTGCGACAAGATTCATGCGGCGAGCGCCACGAAGCCTGGTCGGACGAGGGTCTGCATCAGACGGTGGGAGTTTCATGTGCGGACACCAAGAGGCTCCCTAGGGTGATCCGCGTCCCGTTACCACCAGGGCCCCAGACACGCGATCGTCGGGGTGGGTACTATCAGAATGCAGCCCAATATGAGTGGAAATCTAGCGATTTGGGGATAGGTCCGGGGATAAAACCGATCCGTCACTACTGTTCTACTCCGTACTGTCCTCCAAAGTCCAAGTTGGGTTGTGAGCCTCAATGAGAGAAGGGGGAGGGGGAGGGTGGGATGGGGCGCGCACGGCCTCGGGAGCGAATGGGAAGGGGTTCTCGGGCTGACCGGGAGGCAGAGGGTCGGCGTTCCATTGTGTCGGTTTTCGATTGAATGCGGGCTTGGCTGAGGAAGATTGCTATCAGTGTCGAGCCTGTAGTCACAAACAGCGCAAGCTTCGAGACACGCCACAAGCCTCGCAGTATGAGATCGCCAGACTTAATGCAGGTCTTGCGCGAGTATCACGGTGCTCAGCCAAGGTCCAGATCTTCCCGCTGCCAGTGGGCGAGCCGTAGTGCGGGGTCACTACCGGCACGCCGTTGAGTAAAGTAAGTATGCTTTGAGTGTGGGAAGTGCTCGGGTAGCAAGCCGGCAACTAGGCGCCCTTCTGCATTTGTTAGTTATCAGCACAGAGTTGATCCGAGATCGAGAAGCTATACCATCTCCAGCTTGTCGTAGCTACTGATTCAGAAGAGAGTGTCGTAAAGCTTTGGCACTAGCGAGTGACTGGAAACACACAGTTTACATCGGCGCTGGCCACAGGGGATTGATAACTCTTGCGAGAAGATCTGCGCCTGAAGCAAACACTCGCCGGCCGTACGCGTAAGAGGCCAGTCCTTTAGATCACGCAGAGCTCTTTGCAGAAATGCAACAAAGACCCACTCGGGCCGATGATTTAGGTGTTTGACTCGGGGTGTTGTTTGTCTGGTTGATCCTGCGTCCGAGACATCGTTGTACAGCAGCAGTTGTTGTACCACTCGAACTGCACCGACAACCACCCTTCATCCTGTCATGGGTACGTCTGCTTGTCAGCTTCGCGTCTGGAAGAAGGCTAAACGTTCAAGGCCAGGCTCAAGCGCTATCCCTTGGGTCCAGCGTCTTTTGGCGGACATCCAGGGACGGCCCTGGGATCCTTAGACTGAGCCTCCAAACTTTAGCGCGCAAGCACTGACTGGGTCAAAGAGACATCCCAATGCCGCGTAGGATGTTTGTTCTCTAAGTCGACCAGCAATGAGAACAATGTATTTCTGAAAGGACAGAGTCCTTTGGGAGTAGTGATGAGAATTTGGCCTTCTATCGGTTGTTCTTTCGCCAGGATCAGAAAGGAATTGCTCCTAGTAGACCTGCCGCGAGTTCCAGAAGCCCTTGAAGTTTGACGGGGCAATCCACGCAAGTCTCACTGACGAGGACTCGAGTGCGCATACACTGCCTGGGAGGCAACAAAGAAACAGTGGTCTGAAGTTGGCAGTGAACTCTGCGATTTGGCAACCTCGAAGAGAAGAAGAAGTGCTCCGTGTGCTTGAGCCATGCGTGACCGAGAGAAGAAGTCCTCCCTCTGGATTAGCACCATTCTTTCCCACGAGACCGGCTTGGTTACATAAGCCACCATCAGCTAACTTGATGAAGTGGGCACGGAAACGCCTGCCGGCCACGTGCCGGAGGTCTCATCGAGGTTCCGCCATACATCGGAAAATGTCAAGATAGAATTCTGAGGTATTTGAGGTATTTGCGAGAGATTCGGCAAAAGACTCATGAGAGTTGTCAACCGATAGCGGACCTCATACATCCGCGTCTCTTCGCAATGACTACCAGCAATGGTGACATTGTGGGGCCGCGCGGGGAATAGAACGATAAATACCGGATGTCCCTATATGCTACATATCGCAGAGACAACACATCTTGAAATCATCTACATCACTGACAACGCGGCTGTATCACTCATTTAATCTGCACTCAAGATCTCGTCAACATGTCTTCCCAGAGCTCAAACCCGCCTCTCCTCGATCACATCGTGATTCTGGTCCCCCACCAAGTCCTCGCCTCCCTCCCCACTTGGCTCTCAACCGAATTCACCATCCTCACAGGCGGCCGGCACGCTGACGGCCTCACGGAAAACAAGCTCGTCATCTTCGCAGACGGCACCTATCTGGAAATCATCTCCTTCGTCGCGGGCATCAGCCGGGAAGACCGCCTCAAGCACAAGTGGGGTCCGAAGCCGGACGGCACCATCATCGACTGGGCCTATTCCCTCAAGGACGAGTCCGGCTTCGCCGAGATCCAGAAACGGGTGCACGCCGCGCAGTCGCTGGCCGTGTACGAGGACCCCGTGCCCGGCGGGCGCATCAGGCCGGATGGCGAGGAGCTGAAGTGGGCCGTTGCACTCCCGGATAGCGCTGCCGGGGCCGGAGCCGGAAAAGTGGAGAGGGGCGAGTTGCCGTTTTGGTGCTTTGACCGAACGCCGCGGAAGCTTCGTGTGCCGGATCATGTTCCCGAGAATGTGAAGCACCCGAACGGATCACTCGGAGTTCATTCAGTCTCGCTTCACGTGAGTAGCGAGGACTTCAAGAAGGCCTACGCTGGCATCAACGACCGCGCGGCGGAGGAGGGCGGCGATGGTGTTGGGCGGTGGACGTTTGATGTTCCCGTTCGTCAGTTTGACGATCCTAGATATCTGAACGTTGAAACCATCTCTAGCAAGCAGGGTTCTAGACAAGCTATCCGCTTCGCTTTGTATACCGCCGCGGGTACGACAAAGCGGTCTATCGGCGGCGAACTTGGTGGGGGCGTCTCTGTTGAGATTGATTTAATTCCCGTGTCCGGTGGCTCTTCCTAAGCGTTCAAAAGAAAGTGGCTTGGAGACTCGCGATGCTTCATGATGTTTCATCAGAAAGCATTATGGAGGGTGGTTTTTAAGCTGCCCAAACCTGCTGGGCATACGTTACCGCATGTAGAAAGAAAATTAAGATGAACTTTGATACCATGCTATTGTTATGGTTGCGCCTAGCAGCCAGAAACAGGTACAACACTGCCTCAACGAACTCTCTCCTTTTGAAATCTCATTTGCGGCATACCTTGGCACCAACAAAAATTTGTGATTTGCCGTCATCACACAAACGAAAGATCAGAAGCTTGGATCATCGTCAAGTCCCGATCTGAAAAACAACCTTCCATAGAATAGGTCAAAACTTGGCTCCCCTAGCCTGTAGGTTTGAGATGGGAGGGATACCCAGCATCCATGAGGTTTAGAAGAGACGCGTTCGGCCTTAAAGATGCAGGTATATGTTTGGACAGACAAGGCCCTCGTTAAGAGCCTCATCGTTCCAAATGTCGAAGCAGGTGGGGAGTGATCAAGGCTTGACAAGTATAAGCTTCACAGCAATCCACAGGTCACGAAGTTTACGGCTGTGGGCTCGTCGGTGACACCGTGATTGATAAAGCACCTTGTGGGATCAGAGAACGTATATAGGCAGCCATACACCCGATAAGCCAGATGCCGACCGCATTGCATGATTCTCCACCCACTATTTCGTCTCTATAATCAAAGAACAAGCAAGATTTTCCTACTAAACCGCCCCTGGCACTCGAATTCAACCCTAAAAATCACCCCAAGCCTCAAAAACCTCTCCAATATTTGTGAAGACCTACCAAATCGGTAACGGCATCGCAAATGAGGCTCAACAATGATGCAAAGGAGTTACCTCCTGAGACACCTTCCAATAAGGCAGTCACCAAGGGTCATCAGACTCGAAAGCTGATTCTGAAAATGGGTTGAATAAAAACACGGAGATGCTCCACACCGACGCATGCACTGGGCATTTTCAGGACTCTCAAGAATCATTTCAAGCGCCGATTCCAACGACTTCCGAAACATCTTCCTTAGAAGAAAGTTTTGACAGTCAAGAAGAATCATCGACCCCATCAGTTGGCGACGAGGGAAGACTGGATGATGATCACGAGAGATTTTCACCCCCCGCACTTGTCACTAAGGTACCTTAACGATATTTTGCCTCTACTGTGTGTTCAATTTCTGGGATAAAGTTTCACGAAGATCCTTCACCACCCATTGGTCGGAAATACTCTTTATTGTTGCGACAATGGTTGCGCTGGCCTCTGTATTTAACCCGCTCAAGACTGCGACCGGCCTTGGTTGTGTCGCCTACACCGCCCTTCACTTTTGTATACGAAGGCATTCCTTCTCCGTAGTTGGTGAATGGAACCGGCTTCCTTGGGACCTCAAAGTCATCTACTACCTTCACGAAGCCGATAATATTGGACTCCAAATCCTCCTCATGACAAGTTTAGTGGCCTGGCTAGGCCCCGAGACATGCCAGATCGCCTTGAAGAGACATACACCAGCTTGGATGAAGGAGTTACTCCCGCACTTCATCGCCAAGAATCTCTGAGAATGACTTTTTGAGGGTTCCGAGAACCTGGAACTTGAGATGCTCTTACGATAGTAGCACATGTTAGGGGGCGGGCGAATTTGAAACCTCGTTAATATGCAGTTTCGACATTACGACCGTCATCAACACATCATAATATCACTATTATTTGTTGTATCACTGAAATCTATATATATCAATACATGGATCTCAGTCGAGGACAGATCAAGTAGACGTAGCTTCACGTGAGATTGTGTTTTCTTGACGTATTGACCTGCGACTTTCGAGTGAAGCTCACATACCAAGCTTAGTTACGGATCATGCTTGATTAAAAGAATGGAGGTGTGTGATGGAGTTGCAGTGGACCGAACCCAGGATCACGATGCAGGATGGCTCATGTTAGGAAGACGCGACAGGTGGAGCGTTGACGGGTAGTCCACAACAGCTAGCTTATTACGCTAAGAAAATGGATCCAGGAACAAGGTCATGGCATCACGCATACATCATCACCCATGATCGCGGAGATTGAATACGGCGAGACTGCAAATTTGTGGCACATCTTGCAGATCTCAGTAAGTTTTGTTGGGAGTGAACGTGATAAATTTTGACGATATGTTTGAACTGCTTTATCAAGTCTAGTACGTGTGGTATGAAATGTACTGTAGTGTTTGAGGTAGCTACTGCGTTACCTGAATGCGGCATTGCGGCATTAAATTACCGAAGGCTGGCGAAGAACAACCAGGGGCGCGCAGCTTAATTCATCACATTAACCAATTAAGATTACAGTGTTCTTTTTTACTTGTTTGTCTATTATTTTAAAGTAGTCATAACATCATATTCAGGACAAGAAACCTTTCAGTCTTCCGTATCCATGTGCTGTTGTTCCGCCCGGCTTACACAGAAGACGAGACATTTACCGGCAGCAGTAACCACCGTCAATGACGATGTCGGCACCGGTGGTGTAGGTGCTAGCATCTGAGACAAGGTACACGTAGGCACCCTTGAGCTCCTTGGCATCACCGTTGCGACCCATGGGAATCATGCTCTTCCACAGGTCCTGAACCTTCTGCTCGACGAAGTCGGACAGGCCGGTGTCAATGTAACCGGGAGAGATGGAGTTGACACGGGCAAAGTCGCGCCACTCGTTGGCGAGAGAGCGGGCCATGTGAATGCAGCCGGCCTTTGCGACGTTGTACGAGGTCTGCTCCTGGGGGTAGTTGGCGATGTGGCCGGACATGGAGGCGGTGATAACGAAGGAACCGGAGCCGCGCTCGCGGAAGTGGGCGCCGACGGCCTTGGCGCAGTACGCGGTGCCGTTCAGGTCGATTTGGATGACGTGGTCCCAAGCCTCCTTGGTGCCGTCAATGATGCCGGCATCGGCGGTGGCACCAGCACTGCAGAGAGCAAAGTCATCAGTTATTTGAGCTACATTGGAGAGTTGCACGGGGTTGAGAGGCTCGGGAACTCACTTGGCGATGAAGGCATCAATCTTGCCAAAGTCGGCGATGATCTGCTTGGTGGTCTTCTCAACCTCGTCGTAGTCGCTGACGTTGAGCTTGTAGATCTTGACCTTAACGCCGTACTCCTTCTCGAGCTCGGCGGCGTTCTTCTCAGCACCCTCCTTGCGAGAGGAGTAGGTGATGGCCAGGTCGGCACCCATCTCGGCGCAGCCGCGGGCAGCCTCAATGCCCATGCCGCGGGGGCCGGAGGCACCCGTGACAACGACGACCTTGCCCTTGAGGCTGAAGAGGTCCAAAAGACGGGAAGCGGTGGGAATGGACTGAGGCATGATGAAGGATTGGTGGTGGTGAATGTGGCTGGGTTGTAAAGGTAAAAGAGGCGTCTGCAAAGATTGAAGAGAAGGCTTTTTGGGGTATCAAACTTTTTGGAATGAAAAAGGAAGAGAGAGAAAAGCTCGAAAAGATCAGCGGGAGAAAGGCAGCTTTGAATAGCTGAGAGTACGGCGTGCTTCGAGCCCAAAAAAGACCGAGGGGTCAATAAGGTGGCATGATGGAGGGGTAGCTTTGGGAATTGGCCGGCCGTGACGGCATCCCGGGAACCCCGCTGATGTCATTGATACAGGCACGGACTAGACGCCGGGGCTAAATACGGACCAATGCTCAGCAATGAGGTTGTGAGGAACGTCTAGATACATGGGTGAACCCATGCCCTCCCTTCAAGTGCCCGCCAGTCTGGTGGATCTTAATTAATGGGACCCGGATGGGCCGCAGGTAGACATTGAGACAGTATTGCCGTACTCCTACGCATACCTAACAGAGAATAGTCTCAATCTTTAGAACAATACTTTTGTACTTGTTATGTACGAATCTGTATCTGAGTAATCCCACATGCGAGGACTGCAGCAATATGCGCCATGCAGCTCGGACAGCTCATCAATCTGATCTTGGTGCTCGCTTGGCGCAACCTTTTCCTGCCGACTACTAATCCAACCGCACTGACCGAGAGTCGGGCAGGATTTGTCGAACTGCAGTATTTGATATCTTCAGTCCGAAGAATTGTAGAGAACTACGTAACTAAGTACGGCGGCGAGGTGAGTTTGTTCTTAGCTTATTACCAAGAGGGAAAAAACCTGGCAACCAAGTTCTAGGCCTTAATGGAAAAACCACGCCGCCCAATCGATCTCAGAAACTACATGGTTGCGGCCAAGAGTCCAGTTGTGAGATCCACAGAAGCCCACATCCAACCCACCCCGGCCATGCAGCGCGCGCCATTAGTCAAGGCCTCGCATCGTCGATGCTGTCTTCAAGTTCCAGCTTCCCATGAGAGGTGCATTTTACCGCAGATAGCAGCGAGGAAGAGGGGGCCCAACCCGCCCCGCGCCCTCGTGGACGCGTCGTGTCCAAGTACTCTTCGTGTGCACTCCATCAAGTCTGGGAACTCCTGTTGGTGCGGAGCTGGGCAGCCGGGCGCGGAGGCATGTCGGTGAGGGGGAAGACACGGAGTAGGGAGCGTGGGGTTCGGGTCGCTGCGGGTGGGCTACGGAGACTCTGAAGTTTGGCCCTCCAACCACCGGTCCGCTGCTTGGTTCACCGTTCGAGGCTCTCACCACAGTTCCACATCACACCAGACACATGGTGGCCTTCGCACAGCTGCGGGTACCAACTCTGCACGTTCGAGGGGGAAATATGTTGGAGATTTGGAGGGGAGCGTCCAGTCGACCCATACAATCCCGGGGAGAGTTCATTTGCCCGCGCGGGGTGTTTCGTAGGTGAGCGATATTCTCCTCAACAAGAGGCCCTCACGACCGTCTGATCTGATCGCCGGGACAACCACTTCATGTGCATTCGACTATCAATGCTCCACGTCGGAGACAATCCGAGCCGACTACAACCACAGCTGGAATCACCAGGCAGTTGCAACCGAAGACTCTCAGTCACGCCAAGTTATCAATCAGCGTGGCCCGACCGCCCTCGGCCCGTTCGGAGACCGGCAAAACCAGCTTATCTCGTGACCATAAATGCCACTTCGAACGCCCTTGCCCACAAGAAACCTTCAACATCTCCGGAATGGCCTGAACAAGTAGAGGGGATCAGAACAAACCTCTGTTGTCGCCATTCACTCGATATCTAATTCCTTACTTTCCTCGCCGTGTCCACCCAATTCTCATCCTTCAGCACTCATTGAGATGATCCTAAGGTGCAGTCTTGAATCGCTAGACACAATTTTGAGCACCAATAGAAGTCAATAACTTCTATCAAGGTGGATTTTGCCCATAGTGACTTGAACGCCCCCAAATGCTTGTATGCGCGTACATGAACTCTCCTGACGCCTCTTCGATTGAAACCACATCATGACATTCCTCGGGCCAAGTAGCGCAGATTCTTAAATAAGTCGATTTTCCACCATTAGTGAGACCATAATGGCCGCTCATAAGCGGACTGTTCTTTTAATTTTGCCGCCTCAAGGCATTCAGTGTTCTCTCAACAACACCACCCTTTCAAGATCTTAGACCCGAGAAGAAAGCACCGGGTTCTCCTCATATTCATCCCTTTCCTCAAAGAAGCCAGCCATGCCTCTCTACAGTGTTCCGCTCGCCCGGGCAAAGATGTGGCTCCGTCGACGAAGAAGACAACCATGGTCGCCACGGACAAGCCTCTTGGACGAAGCCAGATGTTCAGTTATAGTCCTCCTCGGCGCATGCTTCCTCACCACAATTCTGGTCACCATAACCTTGATGAGAGCATCCTCGGAGTCCAAACAACCCATCGCCTGGATGGCGGAGCTTTCGATCGTCCTGATTATCACGCAAACTTGTTACGCAGCTGTCTTTAGCATTCACAAATGCATTCTTCCCCCGCCTGGTCGCATTAGTGGTCTGGTATACTTCTACTGGCTTACCTGGATCGGCTTGCAGGCTCTCAGCTTCTTCGCCGTGCGGCACGCCTTGCACGAAGATTGGTCGCAGACCAAGTACGTCGCTCTCGCCTGGTTGTTCATGAGCGCCGGGTCCGTCCTGATATGGACATACGTATTGGTCTGTTTAAGAGGAGAGAGACACCGACGGGGGAGGACGTTGCGACATGACACGGCTGGTCAGCTTCTGGTGATGCAGATGGAGACGAGAGAGCGAGCCATTGACATGGAAGCGGCCGTGAGCACGGTTCAAGCACCACCATCCGTTGTCGTGAGGGAGGTGAAGAACGAAGATTTGAGGCTGAGCTGATTCGGAAAGCATCGTGACCGGCTGGAATTTGGAAGCGATGAACAGGACGATCGATCCATCACGACATACATAATATGTGCCGAATTGGCTGCTTGGATTAAACAAAAAGTTTGTGTTTAAAGTTTGAGCACGCAAGAAATCTTGGTCCACGCTTGTCAAAGGGTGTTTCAGCGAATTGATATTTATACAATCAACCAAGAATCCCGAACATTGTGATACTCTTCCATCCTTCATTGTAGTAATCTGGATGGAGAGTAATGATGGGCAGTCTTGCACGTATCATATATTTTGTTTGAGATTTAATCTCAAGCTTCCATTCGAAAGGTAGAATATCTGCATGGTGGCAGCATCAACGGAAGTGTCAATGCAGCAAAATCTCTTACAGGAACTACGACTACTTCTCCAAATCTTCTTGACAATAGTCTTCTACAGTTCTTAACCTCCATAGAACTTCACATGGTTCTTTGAATTTGGAAACGAGATCCGTTGCTTGTAAATTGAGGTTGAATGTCTCTTTTGTCAACGCGTATGATGCACCTAATCTTAGTAGACGCACATCTCTGATTCCCTCTGTTGGATTCAAACACCACAACTTCTTCAGTGTCGCTGACGGATTTCTACTTCTTGAACTCCAGCTTTCTCGGCGAAGTCAACATCGCGCACGATTTTGACATCGCCAAAGATCTCATCGATTTCTTCCAGAGATTTTCCTATGAGTGAAGTGTAAGCTACTGTCCGTGTACGGTGGGTCACAATGTTTATACCTCTGGTCTCGGGATAGAAGAATGCAAAGATGATAGCGCAGAGAGCGTTGGTGAGGATGAAAAGTATCTGAGCCTTCAAGTCAGAACATACTCGTCAAAATATGATTTGAACATAATCAACGTACGTAGTACTTCCAGCCAACCGCGGCCAGAGCAATTGGCGAACACTGCGTAATGATTAGACTAATGGAATAGTGAATGACCTGGACTATGGCGTTCGCTTTGGCTCGGAGCTCCGTGGTGAAAACTTCAGGTCTATATTCCCGTCAAAACTGCAGTTCATATACTGACACTCGGAATGATACTCACGGAATAATCCATGTCATGGGTCCCAGGAGGGCAGAATAGTTGGCCGAAACAGCGAAAATACACGCAATGAGACCGCGCTGGGCCGCCTCGTTGGTTGGAAATCCGGGTCTTGCAGGGTAAACTGCTGCTAAAATGGTGATGATCAAGTAACAAAGCGACAACAGAGACGAGCTAATGATAAGAATCTTCTTTCGACCGATACGATCAACGAAGAACAGCGAGATTAAGCATGCCACGGGTGCAACAGAACCATAGAGACCACTGACGAGAAGCTGTTGATCCTGGCTGAACTGCAGCGTAGCATAGATGGCCGTTTGGTAATACTGCACAAACGAAATGCCAGAAAGCATCGCAGCAGCCCACACAAAAGAACCGACAAAGAGGCGTTTGCGGAACGCTGGTGTCTTGAATAGGTCGCCCCAGGATAGCCGACCCTGAGCCTGTAACTCTTCTGCGATGTTGACCTGGATGATGGTAAACTCATTGCGGCACCAGTCGTCGTTGGTCCCGTCATAGTGGTAGTTGCGGAAAGCTTTTTCAGCTTCCTCGTGCCGACCCTTTAGGCAGAGCCATCTGGGCGACTCACCGAGGAAGAGAACGCTAATGCCCAGGATCAGGGCAGGGATGCTCTGAATGGCGAAACCAAGCCTCCATTGGTTAGGATTCTGCCATTTGCCTTCTCCAACGCCAGTCCAGAGAGCGACAAAGAAGCCCCAGGCAACCACTTTACCTCGTTAGTGTGCGTGAACTGTGATAATCGTTTCAACTTACTCATCTGGTTGACAGCTGTGATCCTGGCTCTTTCGTGGGTCTGGAAAATATTAGCTTCAAACAATTTTCGTAAGTCGATCGGACAGTGAAGCATCCGACCTTTGCAATTTCCGCTCCAAAGACTGGAGCTACGCCAGTGATTGTACCAACTGCAAAACCGACTAGCAGTCGGCCCATGATGACTGGTTCTCATATTTAGCACTTCACCTTACAATTCTCGGGTCTCAACTTCACCTACGCATTGCGACATGGGCAGCACCCGCCATCAGAGCACCGCCAATGACTCCCCATATGCAGCCAAAGGCGATGGCTTTGCGGCGGCCTACTTTGTCGCTGGTAACACCAACAGATGCACTCCCTAGCCATGCTGGTAAAGTAAGTTAGACCAGTAGGTGTTGCTGTTCCCGGAGCAAATCATACCTCCAGCTTGATACACTGACACGATTGCACCTCGAAGGGGAGCATCCGGATTTCCGAAATACGCGAGGAATGACTTGAGTGCTAAGCTAGGTGTAATGATTCCTGAATCACTAGGATGTCGTGTGAGACTTTAGTTGAAAGGATACTCTTGTTGTGCAGAAAGACTCACTATCCATAAAGGAATCCTCCTATGCCAAGGAGGATCGACGTCAAGAATGGCTTGCTCAGCCAACCGGAACGTTCAGGTTCCATAGTAGAGATGTAAGGGATGCTTAAGTCTATATTTTGGTAAAAGTCTCGAATCCTAAAGTATCCTCAAGTATTGCACAAGCAAGGCACATCCATCGTTTGGATCCGGACTTCCAGGGACTTCCTAGACTTTGTACCTCTTCATCTTCCATGCGCTTCATCTCACTCGAACAACTGCCGCGGTGATGCTACCAAAGACCAGGGCATGGTTATCCGCCATCCAACCAAGGCGTTTGTAAGTTTGGAGTCAGCAAGAAGCATGCATGGGCCGCTTCGTTTCGGGGGTGGTTCCCCCACACGCATCTTGCTTCCCCCGCGTAACCCACGTGCAGCTTTAAACCCAGACTGCGGGGTTTTCAAGGGGAAGTTTTCGTATCGTGACTTGATTTTCTCATGACTATCGAGCGGGAAGGATTGAAGAGACCCAGTTGTGGCTTGCTGAATCGTGTTCGCCAAGATCGGCAATTGTTGGAAGAGTCGAAATTGGAGCGCTAGCCGCTCGACTGATCATTGAAAGATTGGATTACCTCGGGTTTATTTGCCTTTCAGTACTCTTTCCCCCTCCAAACTCATAGATATCCCCGGCTAAGTCTTTTGAGATTACCGAAGGAAGATTGGCGACTCAACGTCTATGTATGCGTGTGTTGAAGTTGCAGACTTGCTATTCGGGTCTACCCACCGTCAATCACTCCATCATGCTCTTCAATATTCTCGCCTACTTGGCGTTGATCGCTGGAGTTTCTTATCTAGCCCTCACATTTCCCAGGGTAAGAAATGTTAAGTCTGACACGCTTTACTGGAAACTATCCTGACTTCATCAACCTCGAATAGCTGCGGCAAGAGTGGAAGCTCTACTCACATCGATCACAGCTTCCCCCGGGTCCCAAGATCATCAAAACAGGGATCCGAAAGCCATGGCTTTGGTTCCAGGAATTGAGTAGGGAGTATGGCGACGTCGTCTACCTCCAGATGGGTCCGACGCCAACCATCGTTTTGGGCTCAGCCCAAGCGGCATGGGACCTCCTCGAAAAAAAGGGCTCAATCTTTTCGTCACGCCCGCGCTTCATCATGGGCGGCGAGCTCCTCTCTGGCGGCATGAGGGGCCTGATGGCCTCTTACTCCCCCTTCTGGCGGCGATGGCGAAAGCTCCTGCACAGCGGCTTCATGCAGCGGCAGAGCGAGACGTACCGGCCGGTGCAGAGTCTGGAGTCCAAGGTGCTTATGCATGAGCTTCTCATGAGTCCCGGAGACTTTCGAAGGCACCTTGAACGATATGCGGCCTCTGTTATTGTGACGGTGACGTACGGCAGGAGGGTGGAGGACATTGCCACCGATATCGTTGTCCAACGCAATGCTGAGTCAATGGGACGCCTGACATCGGTCAAGTAAGCGTCTTCTTCTTCCCCCTATTCTTCTCAAGTCTTCTGTTTCTGACGATTCTTTTCGACATGTAGCATTCCAGGAAAGTTTGCCGTAGAGAGATATCCTGTTCTTAAGTACATCCCCAGCTTCTTGGCCCCTTGGAAGGCCGAGGTCTTAAAGCAGAGGCAAAAGGACATCCAGATGTACACTGAGCTCATGGACGAGGTCCGCGACAAAGTCAGTAGAGGAGTTGCGCCTGAGTCCTTCGCTAGACACCTGCTCGAAGAGCAATCCAACCTGGGCATGTCAGATCTCGAAATAGCCTACACGGCAGGCTCACCATTCGGAGCTGGCGTTGAGACGGTAAGAGAAATTACCCCTCCGTAGTCCGCGCTTATGCAAAGACCCGACGTGACTAACAAACCAATGCCTCAAGTCGGCCGGATCTCTAGCCAGCTTCATACTGGCTTGTGCCAAGTTTGGCCCGCAGTTCATACCAAGAGCGCAAGAGGAGCTTGACAGAGTCGTCGGAGGCGACCGGCTGCCCATGTTTAATGATCTGAATAAGCTCGAGTATGTTCGTGCGATAGCTGCGGAGACGCTACGCTGGCGGCCTGTCGCCGTGCTCGGTGGCACTCCCCATGCGAGCACCGCGGATCATGTCTACAAGGGCATGTTCATCCCAAAGGGTAGCACCGTTATCGCACCTTTATGGAGCAGTATGTCAAGCCCCATATGCTCCTGATCCCGCTTAGTACTCTGACTCATGATTTCTAGTTCATCTTAACGAAGCAGACTTCCCAGAACCTCATGAGTTCAGGCCTGAGCGATTCTTGACTGAACGCGAATACCCTGGCACCTTCGGTCACAGTGCCTTTGGATGGGGCCGTCGGATCTGCCCTGGCATGCACCTTGGATCTGCGTCCGTAGCCTTGAATATTGCGAGGATCCTCTGGGGATTTGAAGTCAACCCTGAAACGGACGAAAAGGGCAGGGACGTCGAGGTGGACATGTAAGTGCCAATCCTACCCCTGAGCGCACACAGATCCGGAGCTGACTTGGTGGATGTACACGCAGCTTTGCATACTCGGATGGCTTCAATTCGAGTCCACTACCATTTCCTTG